GCTCCTCCGTCGCCTAGGCGACCAGCCGCGCGCACTCCCCGGAGGCTACGCGTCGCGCGGAAGCTGGTGCCCGCGGTTAAATAAACAACCACGCAACAGCACCCCGCCCGCACATCCCTTCGAACCCGCGGTCCCCTTCACTGCGCATGCTCAGCTGGCCTGCCAGCATCCTCAAGGCAGGTGGGGGTGGAGGGAGGCGTCCGCATGAGAATGTCATTCTTGGGTTTGGGGTGGGCTTTTTTTGCAGTAGCAAGATGTTCGAGGAGGCAGCCTAACATAATGTAGGAAATGCAAGGAAGAGATGGGCAAGGTCCAAAAAGAGTCCTTCGCCTGAAGGTCTTGGCCTGACAACACCTTGTCTCAATATTCTTGAGAGCTTTGGTCTTTGAGAAGCAGCTCTGCGGTGGAAACAAGCATGTCCAAGCGTCAGCCTGAGACTGTATGGGAATGAATCTGTTTTATGCGTCAGGACAATGAGGTGGGTGTGATGAGCACCTTCGGCCCACTGCTTGCAGGAGCTAGTCAGCTGCAACTAGACACTACCCTTGCAAAGATAATGTCCAGTGGCATCAAAGGGAAAAATCATCCACCTTCCCTCTAGCCCCGCCCTTCTTCAGAGTCAGGCCCAAGTCGCCTCTTCCCACGCCCTGTCAGCTCTGGGCGTCCGAAAAACCTGGACAGCGGAGTCCTGAGAGGCAGCCAAAAACACCAGGGACACCACGGCAACAGCCAGCTGGGGCTTGTAGTAAGAATTGTGGACTCAGTCCAGCTAATCAGATCGTGCCTCTGGACCCCATGGTATAATTTACCGCCAATAGAAAGCCACCTCGTACCATGTGACAACGCCCTTTTAACCAATGGGAGACTCTGTAGTCTCAGAGTCAGCCAACCCACCTCTCGTCAGGGCGGGCGATTCTACTCTCTGCCGACTAATTGTAGGCATGCTGATGAATGACGCAGCCTTGGGTTGTGCCAACCACAGCTCGCGAATCTATAGCTACAAAGGTCAGGAAGTATGGAGACCAGGGTGCAGGTTTCTTATGGTTTGGGAAGCAGGCAGACTCAAGTGCTGATCGCTGTGCAGAGTAATAAGGTTTATTGTGGACAAGAGTTAAGAATTGTTAACAGCGTTTCTGTGGCATTCTGCATAAGTGATGGACATGCAAGTGGTGCTAAGCAATGAACCCTGATCCTAATCGAGAAAACATATTTTCCTATTTTTGAAGGAGGCGCAGTGCAGCAGTTCCACTCGTCTCTTTTGGTGTCCCCCAAAGCAAGTCCTTGTTTGTGATATTGTCTTGAAAAGTCAGGCTGTGTCTCTAGCTGTAGAGCTGAGTCATACACTCTTCCCCAACTACATCAGTTACAGGATAAATTATATCCCTAAAACCCCCTTGGATTATTTTTGTAACAATTCATTGTTAAGTTTACTTCCCATTAAGAATGTCTTTCGTAACTGGTCTACCCTTATTACTATCTCACATCTCTTAGGAGTAATAAATCCTGTAAATAAATTGTTTGATCCTACCATGTTCCCTGCCATTGTGCCTTTTCACCCCACAAGCTCATCATATAAAGACAGTATTGGTCTAAGCTCCTCTAAAAATCGGGCATTCTTAAACGTTTTTTGTGGGTTGTTGTTGTTTTTTTTTTCAATTGTCAAACTACTACAAACATATACCCAGATTTAGCAATGTCCTAATGTCTCATTACTCCTTTTTTTAAGAATAGATGACTCATTTTCATTCTCTGTGTGTGGTGTGTGTGTGTGTGTGTGTGTGTGTGTGTGTGTGTTTAAACCACACCAAGTTTTTGTTTAGACAAGGAGTGACCTATCAACTTCAAATGGACAGTTAAACAGAACTTCCTATTATTTGGAATCATTATTTGATTTTCATTAAAATATGAGAGTTCGTATGTGAGTTTCCAGGATTAACAGTGTAGGAGGGCAAATAACTAAGAATCTGAGGAATGTTTTAGAAAACCCGAAAGCCATAAAGGATATATCTCACCCTCAGCGAGTATGTGGAAAAGAAATGAAAATTGGGAGTTGGGAGCGTTCCAGGCATTGCTTGTTATCTGCACAGTGGCAGGAGAGGCATTTCAAGAGGATGACTTCAATGTTTTTTAATAAATGACTGCAATATTTTTACCTAGGCTTTGAGAAGTCTGATATTTTGTGTAAAAGTAGTGTGCTTAATTGTGGTTACTTGAGTTTAGTTGGTAACAGCTATAATTCTTTTCCAAGAAAAGATAGTCGTTTAAGATCTAAATAGTCTAATTTGGTGATAATAACTTCCTAGGCTTGTTGGAAATTCAGTGGAGCCAAGAAGCTTCAAACTTTCTCTTTGTCTAGATAATTACAGCCCATTCACCAATACTTTGCATGGGAGTGGAGCTGAAAATTGTTCATTTCAAAGGGATGAAAAAGGTCAAGTGACTTTCTTCTTGGAAAAATGTGTACTCCGGTTGTGGGCCCAGAATGTAACCTTATGCTCATAACTCACAGTTCCAGGATTGGAGCAGGCTGGGGATTGAAGTACACGGAATGGAAGTTATTTCAGAAATGAGAGTGGGCTTCTTCCTTCACTCTCTGCTTAGTATCATGGAAGTCAAAGAAGTTTGGGCATTTCTCATACTGTTTTCTCTAACTGATCACCAGCGCTGACTTTTCACAGTTAAGAGTAGTGTAGTGGTTGCAGCCTTTGGAGTAATTTCACTTTGTTTATGATTCTCATTGATAAGCCTCATCTTTCATTATCAAATGTCATAAAGGTTGATTTTTAACCGGTAAGAGGTAGAGTAAGTTAAAAATATGTTTTCTTGCAGATTAATCCAATTGGGGTCATGATTCTTAGCTACTTTGTGGCTGGCTTTGAAATGTTGGTGGATTGATTAGTTGCTGTAAGAAAAGATAGCAGGACATACAGAAAATTGCGAGGATTTACATGTGAAGTGACTGGCCATCTCCTGGTCCCTTTATCATATTCATTCCTATACCAGCATACTCTTTCTATACGAAGAGTTTAAAAACAAAAATGTTTAAAAAAGAAAATAAAAATCCTGACTCTACTCATTTCTTTCTGAGAAAGGCAAGATAAAATTGACATAAAATAAAGCTGAATTTCCTCCATGTGTTATAAATCTATAACAACACTTCTCACTGCCCTGCTGGCTCACCTTAGCTTCTGAAGTGACTTTCTGGGAAGAAAAACAAAGACCAAACTTCATTTCTCCTCTCCCCACTGAATTTGAAAGAGAATTATTGCACCTCGGCCCAGATACCCTCAAGAGTTACACATGTGTTACCATGGAAACCCACCTCCTTTCTTTCTGAGAAGGATGTTGAAAAGGGTATAATGAAGTGGGAAATACACTGTGTTCCAGAACTTCCTGACACCAGCAAGATGAAATATGCAAAGAATTTAATATAAACAATTTTGTGCAAGGCAATTGCAAAATGACTGTTAATCTTGAGTACAAAACCCTCATTCTTGCTTCCTCCTATTAAAGCATGTCTCTATTTAACCATAAAGACCAAGAACAAGACAAGTACATTAGCACCTATTAAATGCTGCTGAGAGTCTAAGGAGAGTAGAAGATATTTTCAGGGTCTCTGAGGCTAAGGGGGTAGAGAGAGAAAAACAGAAATCTACAGTAAGAATAGAACGGAAAGATTAAAATAAACTTAGGCCTCCCTAAATATTTGGTTAAATTCCAATGCTTTTGAAAGGAAAAAGAATTACTGTGCAGAAATTAAGTAAACAACCCAATGAAAGAAGCTTAGAAAGTAAATGTTTATGTAAAAGTCATTTTTAAGATGGAAAAAATCTAAAGAAGAAAATGTAATGATTAAAATAAGGAGAAAAAGAAAAATGTTGAAAAATGTTAAAGTCTTGAGAGTTTTGAGAAAATGAGAGCTTTGGTGATGTTCATTTAATCTAGCACAAGTGGGCCTACAATGTTACTTGCATACTGAACTGTTTCCTTTTCTTTTTGCCAGTAGATGTGTAGGGATGAATCCGGCTTGGCCATTACTGGCAGTCCTTCTCCCTCAGTTCTAAAGGCCAAGCAAGCTCATTGCATTAAGTTGATTCGCTCGGAGAGCTCCACAAGATTGAGTAGAGTGGTCCCACAGGCTTTCTAGAGCTTTAAGTCTTTATGGAAGACTAGAATTGACGCCTTTGAGCTGTGGTGCTGGAGAAGAGTATTGAATGTACCATGGACTGCCAAGAAAACAAACAGATCCATCCTAGAGAGGGTTAAACCAGGCTACTCCTTGGAGGCAAAGATTCTGGGGCTTCGTCTGACACACTTGGGACATATTTCAAGGAGAGACAGGTCTTTGGAAAGGGACATCATGCTGGGTAGAGTAGAGGGACAGCGCAGGAGGGGAAGACCCTCTATGAGGTGGATTGATTCAGTGACTGGGGTAATCGGGATGGGTGTGTCAGAGGCAATGCGATTGGCACAGGATAAAGCGGGGTTTAGGGCTGTTGTACATAGGGTCGCT